TTAAGCACGAAATCAACATTTATTTGAACAGACTTTACATATTTTTGGCCCATTTACTGATTTTTCATTTTAGAATATCCTCACAAAAAAGCTAACTTACTTCCTCCATAACCGGTGAACTTCTCTGAATGTCTATATAAAGTAATAGCAGCCTGAGCAAACATTATCTATTCATCCAACAAACAGTTAAATGTCCACTAAGTGTCCTGAAAGCACTCCAAAGTCAAACACAGACGTCCCCAACTTACAGTGGTTTGACTTACAATGGTTCAACTTTAAATTTCCGACTTTAAGTGTTTGCAAAAGAGATACATGTTCACTAGCAACCATATTTCAAGTACCCCACAGCCATTGTGTTTTCACTTTCAGTACAGGATTCAATAAATTACATGAGCTATTAAACACTTTATTATAATACAGGCTTTGTGTTAGATATTTATCCCAACTGTGGGATAAGTGTTCTGAGCATGTTTAAGGTAGGCAAGGCTAAACTATGATGTTTAGTTATGTGTATTAAATACATTTTTGGCTTACATTATTTCAATTTGTGACAGGTTTATTGGACAAAACCTCATTGTAAGTCAAAGAGTATCTGCACATGTTTTCAAAATTCTCTGTGGTTTTGTATGATTTGCAGCAGTTAAGCTCTATGTATTTTCTCAAGGAAAATGTACCTTCACAACAAAAGTTTTCTTATGATAAATGTCCAGACTTCAGATTTTCCATTCAACAAGCATTTATTTGAGCCACTATCAAGAGACACTATACTATGGGCTGTCAACAATTTAAAGAATATACCTCTGTCCTTAAACAATTTATTCATTTCAATTAGTGCTCAGTGAACATAAAAACAAATGTCCTTCCTAATTTCAAAACCTACCAAAGCTACAGTAATCAAAACAATGTGGTACTGGTAAAAGGATAGAATAGACTAATGGGATAGAACTAAGAGTTCAGAAATAAACCCATACATCTATGGCAAATTGTTTTTTGACAAGGGCGTGCCAACTCTATTCATGGTGAAAGAACAGTCTCTTCAACAGATAATATGGGGAAAACTGGATTTCCATATGCAAGAGAATGAAGTTGGACCCTTACCACACACCACATATTAACACAAAAGTTATTTCAATATGGACAATGATCTAAATATAAGAGCTAAAACACAAAACTCTTAGAAGAAATATAGGAGTAAATCTTGATGACCTCAGATTCAGCAATGGATTCTCAGATATGACACCAAAAGAAGAGCAACAAAAGAACTTTATGAAGTTTGGGTTTATGAAAATTTAAACCTTTTGTGTATTAAAAGACATTATCAAGAAAGTGAAAAGACAACCTCTAGAATGAGAAAATATTTGTAAATCATATACATGATAAAGTTTCATATTCAGAATATATAAAGAACTCCTACAACTCAACAACATGAACCACAAACAACCTAATTAAAAATGGTCAAAAAATTGAATGGACATTGCTCCAGAACAAATGGTCTACAAATGGTCAATAAGCACCACAAAAGATGCTAAACAACATTAATCACGAGAAAACACAAATCGAAACCACAATGAGATACTTCACACCTACTTGGATGGCTATACTAAAATAAATGGAAAATAATGAATGTTCGTAAGGAGGATGTGGAGAAACTTGAACCCTTACACATTGCTTGTGGAATATAAAGTGGTGTAGCTGCCATGGAAAATATAGCAGCTCCTCAAAAACCTAAATGTAGAATTACTTTAAACCTGGCAATTCCACCCCTAGATATATACTGTATTCAAATGTACTGAAAGCAGGACTTAAGCAGACACTTGTAGCATTGTAGCATTATTCCAATAGCCCAAAGGGAAGACAACCCAAGTATCCATCAACATAAGAATGGATAAATAAAATGTGGAATATTATTCAGCAAAAAGAAGAATGAGATTCTGATATATGTTATAACATGGATAAACTCTGAGAACTTATGCTAGGTGAAATAAGCCAGACAAAAAAGAACAGATATATATGATCCATTTCTATAAAATATCTAGAATAGCCAAATTCATAGAGACAGAAAATAGATAAGAGGTTACCAAAGACTGGGGCAAGGGGACAAAAGAATGTTAGTTGGTTTTGTATTGCTATAAAGGAATATCTGAAGCTGGTAATTTTATAAAAAAAAGCTTTATTTGGCTCACTATCTGATGTCTAGGGAAGTTCAAGATTGGGCATCTGTATCTGTTGAGGGTCTCGGCTCCTTCCACTCATGCAGAAGGTGAAGGGAAGCCAGCTATGTACAGATCACATGGTGAGAGAAGGGGGAGGTACAACGTTCTTTTCAGCAACCAGCTCTCCTGCGAACTAAAAGAGTGAGAACCCACTCATCACTCTCCTCCAAGGGAAGACACTAAGGTATTCATGAGGAAGCCACTCCCATGAACAAATTTCAACATGAGATTTGGTGGGGACAAGCATCCAAACCATAGCAGAGAGTTATTGATTGATGGTTATGGCGTTTCTGGTTTAAGGTGCCGAAAAAGTTTGTAAATCCATAGTGATGATGGTTGCACAACACTGTGAATTACTGCCACTAAACTGTACACTTAAAAATGGTTAATATGGCAAATTTATGTTGTATATATTTTACAACTGAAAAACAAGGTAGTTTATAAAAATGAATTGTACACTGTAAATGCATGAACAATATGGTGAGTTATATCTCAATAAAGTTGTTTTAAAAAAGAAAAAAGATGGGAGGCCGAGGCGGGCAGATTGCGCAAGGTCAGAAGTTCAAAACCAGCCTGAGCAAGAGTAAGACCCCGTCTCTACTAATAATAGAAAGAAAATAATTGGCCATCTAAAAATAGATAGAAAAAATTAGCCAGGCATGGTGGCGCATGCCTGTAATCCCAGCTACTCGGGAGGCGGAGGCAGAAGGATTGCTTGAGCCCAGGAGTTTGAGGTTGCTGTGAGCTAGACTGATGCCATGGCACTCTAGCCTGGGCAACAGAGTGAGACTCTTGTCTCAAAAAAAAAAAAAGAAAAAAGAAAGAAAAAAAAAGAACTAGGTACTCTGCCTGTAGGGTTTCTTGGAAATCAGTTACATCTGTAACCAAGAGATGATCACAAATGTCCCTGTGTCCAACTTCTACTTGACTCATTTGAATGAGATATATCTGTCACATAGATCTCTAAGTTATGTATTCAATTTAATAAACACATGTCATTTCCTAAATTCATCCAGTACAGCAATAGTTATTGGTGTCAGGCATTGAACTGGACACTAAGCTCAGAGTAGGGGAGTCTGGAGAGCCCAAAAGATGATTATAACACAACAATGGGAGGAGTGTCCTTGTAATGGGAAGCAGCACAGGACAGAATGGGCCCACACAGGTAAGGTCTTAGCCCTGCCAAACAGGCAGAAATGAAGTCTTTAGTTTAAAACTTGGGAGAAAGGAATTAATCTTTTGTTGTTTTTAAACTGATGCTTATATTTAATTTTCAAGATTATGTGACCAAATTGGAAAACGGCAAATACAAAAAACAAAACAAAACCACAATTTCCCCCGATTTTTGCATGGAGATTTTTAAGTGTAAATGAAAAACAAATTCCATTTATTTTCACTGATGTAGATGATGTCAAGCACTGAAAGCAATGTCTTCAAAGCATGTCTTGAAAGAAGGCTTTTTGAGTATCTCATGACTTACCCACCAGCATAATCTTTTAAAATCCCTTCCCTAGCAATCTTGCACCCATATTTCAGAGCACAATGGGGACTGCAGTGATTTATCCAACCTAAGTCAGTTGAAAAATTAGTAATAGTATTAACTAAGCAGCTCAAAGTTCCCTTTTCTGCAAAAGCTCCAGGTAAGACCAGCCAATAAAGCAGGTCACTTGTTCAGCAGGTGTAGACCACAAGAGGTCTGTATGTCAGACCTCTTGTGAAACACTGGGCCTCCAGCAGAGTCAGTCGGAAGCTTCTTCAGCCAGGTATTCCCAAATGCTACTACTTACAGGAGGGACAAAAATAACTATTCAGAGGGCCATTTCACAATCTATACCATAAGCCTTATGAAAGATTCATTTTAAACAAATAATCATATTAAAAAAACCAGATGGAAATGTGCTCAACTAATTATCTTTTTAATAATTAAAAACTGTAAACCACCTGTATGCTCACCATCAGGGAGTGACTCCATTAAGTAAATCACAATCCAGTCAAAGCCCAAGCCAGGTGCTGGGGATGGATGTGGTAGTCAACCTGGCACACAGGAATGCATAGTGTAGTGCAGTCAATAAAAAGGACGTAGAAAAACATTTAAAGCCATGGATAAAATGCACGTGGTGTATTATTAAGAGAAAGAGGCCAAATTGCAGCATTTCATGATCCAGGTTCTGCAAAAACAAATTCTGCTCACGCTTACAGGGAAAAATGAACTGGAAGGAAATACATCTTAATGTTAACCTGGCTTGTCTTGGAGAGCAGGGGTAGGGCTGATTTGCTTTCTCCCTTGTGCCATTCTGTTCCAAGTTTCCGACAGACAGATTACAGTTTGTGAACAGACTAGAGGCCGGTGCAGGCGGTCGCAGGGCCTGGCCGGGCAGCGACGCCCTCGCCCCTGCCTCGCGGCACCTCCGCCCCTGCTCGCAGTTGGCGGGGCGCGGAATACCGCCCCTAGGCCTCGGATAACCGGCGGGGCCGACAGGGACTGTCCGGAACTCACCCCGCGAAGGCCCCGCGCCTCACCGGCGGGATCCCACCGACTGCGTAGACGCTGCCCGCCGCCGCCGGGAGATGGCCGCCGTCCGAGCAGCTGCGGGCCGAGGACGCGGGGCCGCCGGGGGCCGTGCGCAGGGGCTTCCGGGTGCCGAGCAGGGGGCCGGGGCCGGCGCCCAGGAGGCTGCTGTCTCACCTGGTGCCGCGGGAGGCTCTGGGGGCGGCCGCACCTAGCAACCGGTTGGTTCCGACTCGGCTTCGTAGACCGCGTGGCCTTGCTCCCTTCACCAAGAAACAGGCGCAAGCGGTGCGGAAGCCGAAAGCGCTGCAGGCGCGAGTACCAGACGCGCCGACTGTTTATCGCGCTGCGGGTCCCCCGGGGCGCCTGGCGCAGGCGGCCACCCGCTCTCCGCACCACAGGCCCAACCCCCGCCCGCTGCCTCAGCCGAGGGCTTCGCGGTCTCCGCACGGGCCCTCCTCAGCCCCCACCGGAACATCCCCAAGTCCCGCACTGCACCCAACATCCCGCCGGCAAATGCTGGTAAGAGCCAGCCGAGTGCCGGCTGGACGCTGGGGATAGCCTGGTGGGCGAAAACAGCCCCTGTACCTGGAACCATGGGGAAGGGAAACCTGAACCTGGCATTCGCTCCTTAAAATATCTTTTTTGGAGTCTCATTACTCCGTTAAACACCCAAAGTCCTTTAGGTGGGCATGAAGCCCCATGTATGATCTAGCAGCCTCTGTCTGCTTGGCTTCATTTAGATCCTTAAGAGCTGCAAGCTCCTCACCCAAGGCCTCTGCAAATACGCTTCCTTCTGCCTAGACACTCCTCCTCACATCTTCCCTTAGTTAACTTCCATTTTATTGTTGTGATTGTTCTTCAAATAAAATTTTTTAAGGAAAACTATCCTGGCTGTTAAGACTTGCAGCACCTGGAATTCTTCCTAGCTTCTTTCAGGGCGGTTATTTCTGTAGTTTTTGCTCAATATGTAGCAATTATAGACTGAGATCTACCAATGCAGGGGCCTTGGCTCTGAATCTTCTATTTCCCACATCTGCACAGTGTAGGCCCACAGTAGCTCTGATAAATAATTTGTTGAAGGAATGAATGAAGAGCAGGCCTGGGTAGTGTTTTAGGTGGCATTGATTTCCACCTGCAGAGAGTGAGAAAATTTGTTGAGTGGGCCATCTGAGGAAGGCAGTTAGTGGTCCCTGTGGAGCGTAGGCCTAGCAATAAAATAGACACATGTGAAGGGATGTTGAAGAGATTTTGAAGGCCAGCAGATTTGGGGGCTGCTATGGTTTGAGTCCTGGTGTGGCCCCCAAATTCATATGTTGAAACCTAACCCCCAATGCAACAGTATTAAGTGGTGGGCCTTTAGGGGGTGATTAGGTCATGAGAGTTTTGTCCTCATGAATGGGATTAGTGCTCTTATAAAACAGGCTTGCCATGTTTCACCCTTCTGCCAATGTGAGGATACACCAAGAAGGCACCATCTCTGAAGCAGAGACTAAGCTCTCACCAGACTCTGAATCTGCTGGCTTGTTGATCTTGGACTTCCCAGCCTCCAAAACTGTGAGCAGTACATTTCTGTTTTTTTTTTGTTGTTTTTTTTTTGGTTTTTTTTGAGACAGAGTCTCGCTTTCTTGCCTAGGCTAGAGTGAGTGCCTCGGCGTCAGCCTAGCTCACAGCAACCTCAAACTCCTGGGCTCAAGCGATCCTCCTGCCTCAGCCTCCCGAGTAGCTAGGATTACAAGCGTGAGCCACCACCGGCCCATTTCTGTTGTTTTAAATTACCCAGTCTAAGGTATTTTGTTATTATTGCAGCTTAAACAGACTCAGATTGGGATACAGGGACACCTGAGGCCCATTGTGTAATTTCTTCCTGCAGCTTGGTGTTAATATAAGGATTGGTTTGCCTTTGTGGTTGGTAGAGTAGGTGACATTTCTAGGTGCTCTAGCAAGTATGTGGGAAAGGTGGAGTTAAGAGACAATAGGGAACAACCTATTCATTAGGTTAACTTGTCTGCAAAGTAATAAAGACTGATTCTTAAACAAATTATGTTACAGGGATTCTATTTAGTAAGCGCTGACTTCTTGTTTGCTACCCTGTATTGAAAACTCCCTGAAAACAAAGACTTTCATCTCTGTATTTTCTTTTGCAGCAGTGTCTTGAACAGAGAGTTTGCAATAAATGACTGTTGAAAGAATGAATCAAGGGGGACAGGTAAAAGGCCCCAGAGTGGAAATTCCCAGAGAAGGGACAAGGCTAGCTGATTACTTTTCCCTAGTCCTTAGTTATTCTGAGAAACAATCCTCAGTTGTTGGACTAGGACCAGGAAATCTGGGGAGCAGCTCAAGATATTGTTTAAAGAAGGATCATATTTTCTTATAAAACTTAACATCTTTTACAAGACCAGTAAGCTATGATTTGCTAAGTGCTTGCTATGTGTCTTATATGCCATTTCCACTAGTTCTCACAGCCACCCAGTTATATTTACTCCATTTTATAAAGAGACCCAAAGCCCTTCAGAAGTTGTAGGGCCAAGATATGGAGCCTGGTCTGTGGGATTTGAAAAGTTCATTAACATTGGAAAAATATTAATTGTGCTTGAAGAAGAATCTGGGCCTACTCTTAGAGGACTAGAGAACCCCTCTACTCAGAAGTCCCAGAGTACAATGGGGTTTGGCCTATTCATGAAGAACACCTAAGTCTGTACCCAGAATAGGCAAGGCAGTGCGTGATTCCTCAGCTGGCTTGTTCTGTGCCACTGTTTCCTCTCGGTATAGTTTCTGGGATGTATGGAATTGAAGAACAATACCAATTTGGGCTGCTTTTTATACCTACCCATTCCACAGGCCCAGGACACCCGAGGTAGGAATAGTTACTTGTTACCTGACAGGACCATTATGGAAAGAAAGTCTGAACAAAATACAGTAAAGACATTGAACTTGGGGCCGGGCGTGGTTGCTCACGCCTGTAATCCTAGCACTCTGGGAGGCTGAGGCGGGCGGATTGCTCGATGTCAGGAGTTCAAAACCACCCTGAGCAAGAGTAAATAGAAAGAAATTAATTGGCCAACTAATATAAATAGAAAAAATTAGCCGGGATGGTGGCGCATGCCTGTAGTCCCAGCTACTCGGGAGGCTGAGGCAGCAGGATTGCTAGAGCCCAGGAGTTTGAGGTTGCTGTGAGCTAGGCTGATGCCACGGCACTCACTCTAGCCTGGGCAACAAAGCAAGACTCTGTCTCAAAAAAAAAAAAAAAAAAGATATTGAACTTGGTTACACAATGTACTTGCTCAGGCTGATCCTGCTTTTGACTTTGTTCTTTCTCTCAGGTTGTTTCCTTGTTTCCCAGAAAGTACCGAGATGCTGTTCTAACCTCATACATTGCCTCTCACCAACTCGCCCATAGACACCAATGATTTATTTTAAGAGAGCAGCTAAAAACCCTTTCATTCACAATAGTCCATATTTTCAGTGGGTCTCCTTTTGAAAAGGGAATTCTTAATTGATTGACTGATTTTTCTGAACTCGCTTTTTAAACAGTATGAATGGAAACCAAAATAAAAGGAAAAAGTTACATACATTTGATACCTACAGATTTAAAATTTTCTATGTCCTTTTCCAGTGTTGGTCCAGGATGACCCATTGGTTATGTGTTCAAGGAAGAGACATCAATACTTTAGAAACAGACCAGGGTGGAATAGTAGTTATAGAACAAATAATAACAAAACTTTAGAAACAAGCCCAGGCCCAAGATTCTGGCTGCTGGGCTAACCTCAGATGGTAGTGTGCCAGAACCAGTGCCAGTAACCATAGTCTCCTGCTGTTGGCCAGGCTGCTGCTGCTTAGGCCTCAATACAAGGAGGTTGTGGCTCTAGCTACACAAACACAGAAAAATGAAACACCAAACCAAGGAGATTACATACAACTTCAAACCAGAAAATCTTGGACAATTTCAGGAGAAAATCGGTTTCGGTCTGAATTATCTGGAAAGTGGGATATATAGATACAGCCCTAATTAGAGCAAAGAGCCAAAGGAAGGCAGTATAGGCACATGTCACAATTGGTCAAGACTTTAAAATTGTTTTGTCTTGTTTATTTTGAGAAATTTTAAAACTATAGAAAAATACAGAGAATAATATACACATTCCTGCCTCCCAGAATTGACCATTATTAAATATTGGTTCAGTAAAAAATTTTCATAGAATGCCTGTCATGGTAGCTCATACCTGTAATTCCAGCACTTTGGGACGACTGCTTGAGGCCAGGAGTTCAAGATCAGCCTGGGCAACATAGCAAGACATTGTCTCTACAAAACATAAAAAAAAACTAGCTGGGTGTGGTGGCGCATGCCTGTAGTCCCACCACTCAGGAGGCTGGGGGGGGGGGCTGTTTGAGCCCAGGAGTTCAAGGCTGCAGTGAGCTATGATCGAGCCACTACACTGCAGCCTGGGTGACAGAGTAAGACCCTGTCTCTAGAAGAAAACCTCAGTACTATTACTGTCTTCTCTTCCCTAAAGATCAGCATTCCCATGAGTTTGGTGTGTGTATAAAATCCACATTCTATAACTTTATACACATGAGTAAGTGTTCTTGTTTTTAAAAATTAATTAAATAGCCAGGCATGCTGGTCTGCATCTGTAGTCTCAGCTACTCAGGAGGCTGAGGCCACAGAATCACTTGAGTCCAGCCTGGGCAATGAGGCAAGACCCTGTCTCTGAAAAAAAAATATTTAAATGGTACCATGAATGGCAACTAGGAATTTGAAAGTAGGAGAGGATTATAGGGAGCTCATTCTTTGAAATTCATATCATTTTAATCATTATATTAATATTTACTGAACATTTATTGACCATCTATTATATGACAGGTGCTATGGCAGGAAATACAACAGTGAACAGCACTGATCCTTTCTCCCCACTCGTGAAGTTTACATTCTAGTGGAGGAAGCAGTCACAAAAAATGAGCAGACTGTGGTAGCCATTCTCCAAAATAGGCCCAATGACCCCCATTTCCTGGTATTCACATCCTTGTGTTGTCTTCTCCCACGTTTTACCAGGGTTGGTTTGTGTGACCAATAGTATACAACAGAAGTAATGATATATAAATTCTGAGATTAGGTTATGAAAAAGACTGCAGTTTTTTTCTTAGGTGTTTGCATACTCTCTTGGGCTGTGTACTCTGTGGGAAGCTGCAATGTTGTAAGGACACTAAGAGAGCCCAGGGAGAGGCCCACTTGAAGAGGAATGAATTGAGACTGGAGTGCGTTTGGATGTGAATCCTTTAGCCCCAGTTGAACCTTGACATGACTGTAGCCTGGGCCAACAGGTTGACTGCAATTCTGTGAAAGATCTTGTCCAGACATCCTGCTAATCCCCTCTGTATTCCTCACCCACAGAAATTTTGAGATAATAAATATTTATTTTAAGCTATTATGTCTTGGGATAATTTGTTATACATCAATAGATAACTAATAGACGGTTGAAATGATTGCAAATTGTAATAAATCCATGCACCAATCTGATGGTAGAGCAGATGCCCATCACAAGAAGTGGTATTGTCAAGTGGTTAATGACATAGGCTTTGGAGCCTGAATGCCTGGGTTCAGATCCTGGATCTGCCACATACTAGTATGTGACCTTGGCAAGTCATTTTTTAATTGTTTTTGCTGGGGCTTCTATTTGCTCATTTGTAAAATAGAGATAATAGTATTTACATTAAGGTTGTTGTGAGAATTCAACAAGTTAGAAAATGAAAGTGCTTAGCACAGAGCCTGACACATTCTAAGTGCTCAATTAATATAATTATTGTTATTCTGTATAGATTCTTGAGCATTTGTCCTTAATATATTTGCCTGAGCCGTTTGTGTATTGTCCTTTATATAGGAAAATGGCTACTGAAGGTGAATGATCCCTGTATAAATCTGACTCATATTTAATAATAGAAGTCAACACTGGGTTGAACACCTACTGTTTGCTAAGGGACTCTGCTAGGTGCTAAATAAAGTTTAGTAAGACGTGGTTCATGCCCCCAGGAGTTCAAATTCTTGTGGAGGAGGCAAAAACAAATGTGTTAGTGTAACAAAGGATTCTAAATCCAAAAGACTTGTGAGTTGAAGAATCTTCAATAATTCATCATGAAATACCATTTATGTTTGGTATACTCTTTGTTTCAGGGAGAAATCTGATACCCAGGAGAAAATTTGAGAGTCAGTTTAGAACTTGAGAAATTAAAAGATCTGTTTTAACTGCTAATGAAGACTGTAATTTATCATGGAAGGTCAAAGCACAGAGGAAAGCAGAAAATTGAAATGAAGACATGCTTTGGTTCTCAGCTTAAATGTTACTTCCTCAGAGAGGCCTCCTCCATCCCTCCTACCCCCTTCTCTTCTTTCATAACACTTAGCATAATTATATACTTATTTGTGTTTGTTTCATATTATTTTCCTGACTAGTGTATAAGCTCCACAAAGGCAGGAACTATGTCTGGTTTGTTCATGACTGTAAACTCAGCATCTAGTTCAATCCCTGGTCTACAATAGGTGCATAATACATTTTTATAAATGAATAAATAAAAATTGAATGTTTAGAACTATTAGAATTCTGGTGATGGATGAAGCCCATAGAAAACTTTTGAGACTAATGTAGCAGAGTTCTAAGCTAAAGACTAAATTTATATGCAGTCTTTTCCTTTTCTAGCAAAGAGGTGCTAGAAAGGCTTTTGTAGTCCATAGCAGGGAATTCCTTTGGAGGGCAGTATGATAGAGCCGCCTCCTCTCCACTCACCACACAGAAAATCCAGGAGCTGATGGGTGGGAGACTTTATTATTAAGAAATAGAAAATAATCAATCTTCTTGTACTTTGCAGTTTGTGAAGGGTACTGGTGATCATCCATCTAGCATCCATTTTCCTCTTCCCTCTTACAGGATTCCAGTTTTATTCAAGTAGCCATGCCTCCACCTTGCAACTCATGTGACTCAAGGAACATGGACCTTACTGCCAGTTCCAATTGTGGTAACACCTTTTCCCTTCTGGAACCCAGGCTTAAGTTGTCTGTCCTTTTCCCAGGCGGTTACTAATTTGGAGGCAGAGTGTGTACCTGTGTGACCTAATTGGCTCAAAAAACCAGAAGGGGCCAGGTGTGGTGGCTCATTCCTATAATCTCAGCACTTTAGGAGATGGAGGCAGGAGGATTGCCTGAGACCAGCCTGGGCAACATAGGGAGACTCTGTCTCTACAAAAACAAAACAAAAACAAACAAAACTCAGAAAGTTTTAGGAGAGGAGAAAGGATGTGGTCCCTTTTTCTCCTGGTAGGCATCTGGAAAATCACTTTAGTATGAATTTGAAGTCTACTGTGTTTACAGCAAAGCAGAGAGTAATAGCAACCAGGTTCTTGGTAACTTGTTGAACCACTGAATTACCCAATCTCAAAGTCTACCCTGCCTATGGGCTTTCTCTTATGTGAGATAATCAACTTATTGTTTAAGAAGACGGTTTGACTCAGGTTTTATATTATTTGCAACCAAAATAATCCATAATAAACCAAAATAATTGACCCAAAAATACTTGGCCTCCAGCCACACTCAGAAGAGTGGGAAAGTCACTCTATTGTCCAGAAAAAGGCAAGCACTGAGGCTGTGTTTTGAGAGTTGGAAATGAATATTTGCCAACCATTGTTAGTGTGAATACCTAGGTATGGGAAGGGAAGGAGATGGGGGTGGAGTTGGGGACATGTTTGCATGGGGCAGGCACAGAAAGGAAACTCACAGTCGCCCAGCTGCATGGAAGAAGGCTGAGTATGGATCTGAATATATCGAGGGCCAAGAGCTATGCTATTGGATCTTTTCCTGAGAGACACCTTGGCTCATGCCCTCCTTGGGAGATCCCTGTTGGCCATTGTGGGACCTGCTTCCACCAGACCTGCATCGTTTGACCAATTGGAAAAGACAGGTTGTCAACAGCGACACCATGTGGCTATGAGATGCAATGGGGATAGTAGCTCAGACTCCAGGCCTTCCTGTCAAATGTGTGAAAGGTGGATTTTCCTTCAGGAATATTTGGATCACTTAACCCCTTGTAAGTTTTTTGAAAATGGTGGGAAGATATCCTAGTTTTAGATTTCAAATGTATTAAGCTGAGAAATAGAAGATTGAGTTGATTTCCTTTTGTAGAAAAAAAAGAGCAGTGATCATATTTGTAGACTGTGGAACTATTTTTCTAACCTTTGTATCAGGGTGCAAGAAAATTAAGCTTGAAGATGCCAAAGCAAAAGTATTTGCATTTTATACTCCTTTTGAAAATCTGCTAATGGTTTCCCATCCCCTCCTAGTTAAAGTCCCAGCACCTTAGCACATCTCCTAAAGCCTTTCTCTCTCTGCCTCTCTAATGATGCAACACGCTCCTCAGATTCCTCAGGAAGCCTTTGGTAAGTTCCATTATATTTGTTAATGCTTTGGGTGTTATGCCTGTGGTATTGGGGGAGAGGCAGATATGAACTCTACCCAAGGGGCACAGGTTTAATTAGAACAGAAATTTTAAAATAGAAGGTTTACTGAGCATTTGTTAACTAGGCAGTATACTGAAGTGCTTTGGAGTCATTACCTTATTGAATTTGCACAAAGAATATTCTCTAAATACATTTCCTCCCTGTATTGCTGAAATTATTTATAGTTTAGAATCATTCTTAAGTTATCTAGACAGGGAACCTAGAGTGCTTTGCGGCCTTCCATCTTGGCTACACATTGGAATCACCTGGGGAGCTTTACAAACTTGTACCCATCAAAAGCTTTCAGAGCTCCCCAAGTGACTCAAATGTGCAGGGTTGCGCCCCACAGGCCTTGAATGACAAGCCTGAGTAATCCTGCTTTTCCTTCTGCGCCGTGTGCATCCTCCTCTGATCACACCTATCACACTGAATCAAGTTCAGAGCGTATACCTATCTAACTAGACTTTGAGCATCTTCAGTCAGCCATCTTTTGCATTTCTGGAGTCCGATGTTGGGCCTGACAGTAGTTGTGAAAATGCTGAATGGAAGGGTGAAATGTCATCAACACACATTTTTGGGGTCTTCTAAAATGCCAGCCTCCGTAGCCCTCAGCCAGGTCTGGAACTTCCAGAACATGCTGACTGGTCCCCCAGCAAGATCTCAGTCATGCTGGAGGAGGGGGCTGTATTGAGGGCAGTCGATGGTTATTTTCACGTACGGCCACAAATATGTATTTCTGATGTTTTCAAGGTAAATGAGACTCCCAGCAAGCGACACAGCATCTAGGAGGGCAGAGCGCGCCTATGACCAGCAAGCGCACTCACGCCGGCGTTCGTGCGAAGCCCCGCCCCCAGAAGGGGAGCCAACCAGAGGGCGCGGGGGGGGGCGGCGCTCCCAGCCTCCCCGTGCAGCCGGAGAGAATCGCTCGGGACATTTGGAGGCAGAGCAGGGGTCGGCCCTCGACGCGCTCGGGCTCGATTGGCCAACCTCCCGCAGCTGCTGTAACGGTCGCGGAGGCGGGGCCGGAGCAGAGCTGTGCCAGGCTGGGCAGGCTGCTAGTGGGCGGCGGCGTCTGAGGAAGGTGAGTGGCGCTCGGGGCTCGCTGGGTCATTGGCTAGAGCCCCTTCCTGGGGCACCTCCCGGACTTGGCCTCACCTGGGCGCTGGGAAGGGTCAGACTGATTTTTGTCAGCGTTCACAGGGGCAGGTTCGCGCTAATTAAAAATCCTGTGTAAGCGTCTGGGGGTCGGACAGACCTGGTTGGGCTCCCCAGCCTTTGTGCTAGTTGGCTTCTCATTTAACTGCTCAGGGCCTCAGTTTCTTTGTTTAATAAAGCTGGTAGTTCTTGTGAGGGCTAAAGGAGGCAGTAAGTATAAAGCTTTTCTTATTTGTGGTAGATTCAGTTCTTTCTTAGGAACATTAAATAACAAGTTGCATATTTTTAGAATAGAGCTTTTGCTTTAATAACGAATAGAGACTTGGAAAGCAGTACATGTTCATTTATTACAGTACTTTGAAATATATGCTTTTTGAGAAAGCTTAGCTTTTGGTGTGACTCACTTGAGAAAGAATAGTTACTGGGCATAGTTTATTTCCAGCTTGTCCCCCAATAGTAATTAAAAATACTTGAAGTTTAATTACGGGGTGCATATTATGGGGGCTTCAGACCTATAAAGGGCAATTTGATTAAAAGACTTTTGGGATGGCCGGGCGCGGTGGCTCACGCCTGTAATCCTAGCACTTTGGGAGGCTGAGGCGGGCGGATTGCTCAAGGTCAGGAGTTCGAAACCAGCCTGAGCGAGACCCCGTCTCTACCAAAAATAGAAATAAATTAATTGACCAACTAAAAAATATATATACAAAAAAATTAGCTGGGCATGGTGGTGCGTGCCTGTAGTCCCAGCTACTTGGGAGGCTGAGGCAAGTAGGATCGCTGAGCCCAGGAGTTTGAGGTTGCTGTGAGCCAGGCTGACGCCACGGCACTCACTCTAGCCTGGGCAACAAAGTGAGACTCTGTCTCAAAAAAAAAAAAAAAAGACTCTTGGGAAATCTGCAGAGTGCCAGAAGATACAATTGTGATTTTGCTTTTCTCTGCTTGGCTTTCTATGCCGTGTACAAACCAACTCCTACCCACCAACCCCTACTCCCACAGTTTTACTGTTAAGTGCCTGCGTTGTGATACTAATTAAAGCTATATAGCTTCTGTGTTAGCCCTAGGAAGCATTTGGTCTTTCCTGTGATTTTCAAAGTTCCTGTGTCCTGTCACAGCCTGTAGTCCAGGAAAATGCTGTTGTAGACTGTTGGCACATTTCACAGAAAGGACCTCTGAAAAGGAGGGCTTGATCACAGGTGCAAATGAGTAGTAGTTTTTTCTTCCTGCGATTGCTTTTGTGATCAGTGGTAATTTGAAACTGCTTCATCTTAGTGCCCTAGCAAATGAGAATATCCTATCTTTGAAGCTAGAATTGATGAGAGATGTTGTTAGATTTGGATACCCAGCTAAACGTTTCAACAAAACGGGAGAGGAAAGATAAGGGGAAAGAAGAGAAGGGAGGATATATTTGATGGTGAGCCATGGAGGCCATTAGCAATTACTTTAGTTGCTTCTGCTTTCTTTCAGCGATAACCAGTACCACAGGTGCCTGCTCAGGGACTAACACAAGACTATTCTTACTCAGGTAGAACATTTCAAGATTTTGATTTGTTTATCTTTTTGAAACCTAGATGAAGATCGAATGTGGGACAGGAGACTCATTGAGTGATCATTTCATTGAAATCAACTTGAATGACCACGTGTAAAGTGCACGAGTAATATGCTATGCCTGAGGTATGTCTAATGCATCAGATGACTCTAGATGTTGGAAGGCCATGAAGATGATTTATTGACTACTATACTAGGTGCATCATATATATTCCCTTTTGACTTCCTGATAATCCTATAGGTATTTTGAACTCAGTAAGGAAACTAAAGCTCAGAGAGGTTAAGTAACTACTTAAAATAACACAGATAGCTCTAATCACTGCTTATGCATATGCATAATTATAATTATCTTGGGATGGGACCCAAGTCTAAACACACAATTTATCTGTTTCATATACACATAGCCTGAAGATAATTTTATACAATGTTTTTAATAATTTTGTGCATAAAACAAAGTTTTGACTGTGACCTGTCATGAGATCAGATGTGGAATTTTGTATTTGTGGCATTATGTCAATGTTCAAAAGGTTTCGTATTTTTGGATTTTTTTTTTTTTTAGGCAGTGTCTCCCTCTGTTACCTGGTCTGGAATGTGGTGGCATTATAATAGCTCACTGCAACCTCAAACTCCTGGGCTCAAGCAATCCTCCTGCCTCAACCTCCTGAGCAGCAGGGACTACAGGTGTACACCACCATGTCTGGCTAATTCATTTATTTATTTATTTATTTTTGTATAGATAGAGTCTTGCTATGTTCTTCAGGCTAGTCTCAAACTCCTGGCCTTAAGTCATCTTCCCTCCTCAGCCTTCCAAAGTGTTAGAATTGTAGGCATGAGCCACTGAGTCCGGTCTCCTAACCTTTTTAAAGGATTGTATGCTAACTACATTGTCAGAACATATAGCCGTTTCATGTTCTTTTTTCTCCCTCATAGCTTTCATTCATTCTTAGTTCTACAGGTATATTTAATTTTGACCAGCAGTGTTTTTGTTAAGGTCCCTCTAGGCATTTTGGTTACCTGAAGCTAATTCTTTATTTGATTCCTAAGGAAGGAATATGTTCTTAGTTCTTGCATGTTGATAAAAGTTTGTGCTTTTTATTCTTGAAAGTCAGTTTTGCTGATAGACACTCTTTGACTCACACTTCTTCTCCTGGAGTTTCTTAAATATTAATACATTACTCCTTTTTCTTCTGGCATAAAGCATTGGTATCAAAGTCAGATGATAATCTAATTCTTCTTCCACTTACAAATCATGTGGGGTTTTTTTTTCCTAGATGACCAAAGAATATTTTCTTTTTCATTAAAGTCCAATGATTTTATTAGAATGTGTCTTGATGTTGATTGTTCTGGGCCAGTATTCTCAGGCACTTGATATGTTCTTTCCGTATGTAATTTCATGTCTTTTTTTTTTTTTAATTTCAGGAAAACTTTAGTTTTTAAACAGCATTTTTGAGATATATTAGGTCATTAAATATAAAATATTCAATTTTGAATTAAAAGTTTAGTTTTTTATATCTCAAATAAGAAACACTACAATTAATGAAAGTATGTGCCTAAACTATTGACACAGTTTTGCCTTCTTAACATTAGCTCACCTATGCCAGCAGCAAAGAAGCCTAGAGAGCCAGTGGCAAGGAAATCATGAAAGGCATTTTTCTATACCTTCTTAAGAACTGAATATTTTTCCTTGCAAGAAGTGGTCCAAAGCCTGGAAGAAGTGGTAGTCATTTGGTGCAAGGTCTGGTGAATACAGTGGATGACAGAGAGTTTCCAAGTCCAGCTTCTGTAGAGTGAGCAGCATTGTTTTTTGTAACATGTGGTCTTGCAAGGGGACTGGCCTGTCTCTGTTGACCAATATCAGCTGCTTAATTGCAGGTATCCTCATCATTTCATCCAACTGGTTGCAGTAGACATCTGTCATCGCTTGACCAGGGTTCATAACACCATAGTGGATAGTACCAGCACTGGACCACCAAACAGCATTAGATTTTTTTGGTGAATATTTGGTTTCAGACTGTGTTTCAGCACTTCATCTTTATCCAGTCATCACGCTTGCAATTGTCAGAAAGAATCCATTTTTCATCACATTTAACAATTCAGTGTAGAAATGTTCGTCTTTATGTCATGACAACAAAGGCAAGTTTTGAGATGATTTCTCTTCTTGTGCTCATTTAATTCATGCAGTATCCATCTGCATGCTTTACCTTGCCCATTTGTTTCAAATGGTCCAATATTGTTGGAATGGTAATGTCAAACCTTACTGCTAATTCATGTGTAGGTTGAGATGGATTCACTTCCACTATAATAGCTTTCAGCTCATCATTGTCTACCTTGGTCTCAGGCCACCCACATGGCTCATTTTCAAGATTATAATCAGAACCAACCAGCTACGTACATACCATGTGTTCATTAGCCACATCTTTCCCAAACACTTCGTTGATATTTCGAACAGTCTGCGCTACATTGGTTCTGCGAGAGAACTCATATTCAAAATCAAAACGCATTTTTGACTTATCCATGTTTTCGCAAAAATTGCCCTAAAAAAATTGAAACATAATCACAAGCCAAAATGTGTGTGTGAAAGAATGAGGATGTACCTTCACAATAAAAACAAACAAAAAAACAAGTGTCAAAGTGAAATGTCAGATATCAACTGTCAAACTTAGTACTTAAGAAAATCGGATGTTCCATACTTAATAACCTAATATTTGATATATCTGCATATACCTAAAGTGTAAAATTTGATAAGTTTTGACATATACATCTGTGAAACCATCACCACAAGATTGTCAATATATCCAACATCCCTCAAAATTTCCTTGTTCCCTCTCCAGCCTCCCATTCCCCCAACAACCACTGATGTGCTTTCTATAACCATTGAGATTCATCCATGTTGGATGTATCAATAGTTTATACCTTTTTGCTGAGAGGTATTACATTCTATGTGTATACCATAGTTTGTATATCCCTTCACCTACTGACATTTGAATTTTTTTCAGTTTCTGGCTATTATAAATAAAGCTTTGAACATCTGTGTACAAGTCTGTGTGGACATAATGTTTTTATTTCTTAGGTAAATTCCTAAGAGTGGAATGACTGGGTCTTATGTAGGTGTTTGTTTAACCTTTCAAGCAACAGCCAGTTTTGTCAAGTGATTGTACTATTTTAAATTTCCATTAGTAGTGTTTGAGAGTTCCAGTTCCTTCATATCCTTGAAAGCACTTGGTATAGCCAGTCTTGCCCATCAAATAGGTACATAGTGGTGTCACATTGTAGGTTTTAATTTGCATTTCTCTCCTGACTAGTGATATTTAGCATCTTTTTATGTGCTTATTTGCCATCTGTATGTCTTCTTTGGTGAAATGTCTATTCAATTTTTTTGCCCATTTTTAAGTTGTGTTGTTTGCTTTCTTATGTTTTGCAAGTTTTTTATATATTCTGAATATGTGCCCTTTATGATCCCCAATAATTTTCTCCTAGCTATGGTTTTTTTCATTTTCTTAACAGTATTACTCAAAAAGCAGAAGTTATTTTTATGAAGCCCACTTTATTCTTTTGTGGATCATACTTTTGGTGTCATATCTAAGAAATCTTTGCCTAACTGAAGATCATAAAAGTTTTCTCCTGTGTTTTCCTAGACATTTTAGGTTTTAGATTTATGTATATTGCTCATTTTAACTTAGTTTTTTTGTATATGGTGTGAAGTATGGCTGAAAGTCTTTCTTTTGTTGTTGTCGGCATATTGATATCCAGTTGTTCTAGCATCATTTATTGCAAAGACTATCTGTTTGCTCCTGAATTGCCTTCACAGCTTTGAAGGCAACTGAGGTGCCTGTAGGCATTTTGTTTACCTGAAGCTAATTATTTGATTTCTTAGGAAGGTGAAAATCATTTGTCCATATAAATATGGATCTATTTCTGGACTCTATTCGGTTTCATTAATCGATTTGTCTATCTCGACACCAATGCCATATTGTCTTGATTTCCGTAGCTTTGTAAATCTTGAAATCGTATAACGTTAGTTCTCTAAATTTTTTTTTTCAATGTTGTTTTGGGTATTCTAAGTTCTTTGCAGTGTGATATGAATTTTAAAATCAGGAGAGTTTTCTTGAATAGTTTTATTAATGGTTCTATTGCTTTAGTTTTCTTTTTCAGTTACTACTATTATCTGTATATTTGAGCTTCTCTGCCTATCTTTGATATTTATCATTTTCTTTCTTGCCCTTTCTTCATTTCTTTTTAATTTTTAAAGTTATTTTGCTTTTAACCTCTATTTCTCTTAAGCATTATCTGTAGTGTTCATTTTCCTTCTTTAATCTTCATTTCTAAAATAATAATTTTTAAAAAATTACTAATTTCTGGGTTATATCAGTTCATTTCCAAGTTTTTCTTATTACTACTTATTTACTTATTACTACTTATTATTACTTATGGTGTCTTACATGTCTTATAGACTTTTCCATGTATTTTAGCTTGTTTTAAAATAGTGGTTTAGGACAGGTCCATTGGCTCATACCTGTAATCCTAGCACTCTGGGAGGCCGAGGCAGGAGAATTACTTGAGATCAGGAGTTAGAGACTAGCCTGAGCAAGAATGAGACCCTGTCTCTGCTAAAAATAGAAAAAATTAGCTGGGCAACTAAAAACAGAAAGAAAAAATTAGCTGGGCATGGTGGAGAGCGCCTGTAGTCCCAGCTACTTAGGAGGCTGAGGCAGGAGGATCGCTTGAGTCCAGGAGTTTGAGGTTGTTGTGAGGTAGGATGATGCCATGGCACTGTAGCCCGGGCAACAGAGTGAGATGCTGAAAAAAAAGAACTTCCTTTCCTTCCTTCTTCCTTCCCTCCTTGTTTAAAAAAAGTAAAATAAAATAGTGGTTTATAGTTTTGATCTGTTTTATAGGTATATCTTTCTGGTATGTTTTTCTTGTCTGTAGGGATATTCTTTTTTTTTAAATATTAACTTTTGATGGGATTAGTGCTTTTCTTTGCTCATTTTTATGTGAAATTAGTTTTTTTTTCTGAATTTTTATAATGGTTTAAAGGTCAAGAAAGTCAAGAAAGCTTTTCTAACGTCTCAGACTTCCCTCTCCTGTTATTTTGTGTAGTGTTTGAAAATACTGCAGTTTGTTTC